TCGCAGATCATTCTTTGGATACTGTCAAGAACCTCTCGATAAATAGCAGGGGCACCAGACTAGATATGGCAACAGCATTCAATGCACGGCCGAATGGTAGAGTTGGTCTGGTGTTCCTGTTATTCATCTAGAATTTCTTGACAACATCGGAAGAAGGATCTGCAGTGTAATCCATCCTGACTTGGCATCTCGACTTCAGTCACTTTCTCACATATGGCTTCCCTCTGTCTTTGCTACAAATATTTTCATGGCAACTGACGAGCTTTTTTTTCCCTGGTGCCCCGACTACATGAATTTAAACGTACTACTAGATTGGCATTTAGGTCCCCTTCTTTTACTGCTGAAATAGTTAACTGTAACCATCACTTCTACTCTAACAGTTTATTTTCTCGTAATTCATGCCTGTAATCTTGAAACCCGTTAATCTTTTATCCTTTCCTCAATCCTCCCTATACCCAGTCTTCTCTCTCACTTTCACTCTCTGTAACACCCCCCCCCCCTGCGCATTTTCGCCTTGCCTAGGGTGAAATGATTAAAAAAGTGTCGAGATAGATGACCACTTGGGATTACCTGATGATATAAGCTTGGACGTGTGGGTGATGCAATGGATAACGGCTCAGAATCTTAGTCATGCCTCGAGCTGAGGATCAAAGAAACGTCGGAAGAAAAAGCGACAGTCTCGGAGATCATTTTACAATAATCCTTACGCTGTTGGTAAAAAGCTGTTCACCATGACTAAGAGCGGCAAACTCGACGTGCCACAGAAGGAACTCGAGAACTACCTGAGGATGACGTATTGTGGTGCTTGAAAAGATGTTCCAATCCCTGCTATAAATTACCTCCCTAGGCCCGAAGATTCAGAGGTCTTGTTTAATGACAGCGGACTAAAGCTGAGGGAATTTCAGGAAATCGGCCGCAAATACCATGCCTGGAATAAATAGAATGTCCTACAAGTTATATAAGAATTGTCTAATGTCTTCAAACAACTCACCATCCTTCTCCAGTGAGCATGGAAACAAGGTGTTGTACCACAAGAATGGTGCCTGGCGGATGGCATTTGGATACCTAATGAAAGGAATGCAAAATGCATTGCAGATTTCTACCCCATCTCCCTCTTGAATGTAAGGGGGATATTTTTGGGGTCTTTGCCCGTCGTATGACAGATTTCATGCTAGGTAACCATTACATAAACGCGGCTGTCCAAAAGTCTGGAATACCTGGTTTCCTCGGTTGTCGGGAGCATTCACACATGATTTGGAACCCAATCCTACCACCCAAACAAAATAAAACCCCGTTTCATGTAATTTGGCTTAATCTCGCGAATACATATGGATCAGTTCCTCATGATGTCCCTCGAATTTTTCAATTTCCCTACTAAGGTTGGGGAAATTATAATGAAATATTTCAGAGTAGCGTTTATGAAGTTCACTGTTGGTAACCATATCAGCAAGTGGCAAGCCCTTGAAGTCGGTAACATGATAGGGTGTGTGATTTCACCACTTCTTTTCATTATGTTCATGGAACTAATATTACGGTGTGCAGCGGACACAGCAAAGGGATTGTTGACTAAGGAACAGATGGTCCTTTCTCCTTCCATAGCGTTCATTTATAACATTATTATTCTGGTCCCGTCTAAGGTCGGTGCCGATTAACTGCTGCAGCTATAAGCTCTTCCCGTGGGCGAGGATGAAGGATAAACTCAGGAAAAGCTGGATCTTATTAATCAGAGGCTCTGTCGAGGAGATTCACTTCTGCATTGGGGGTGACATGATCGCAACAGTCAAATAGAATCCAGTGAAGCGCCTCGGACGGCTTATGAAATTCCATTGACTGATCGGTACCGAGGTAAAAATGTGCAGAAATTGGCACTAGATGGACTTGAATCCATTGACAGAACCCATTTCCCCGGCAAATTGAAGGCTTGGTACTACCAAGATGGTTAGCTTCCCCAGCTTTTTTTTTTCATTGCAGGTGTATGTATAACATTCAGCAGACAACGGTGTACCTGCGAAAGTGACTTGGAGTTCCCTTGCTTCTTCACATTACTCTATACTACTGCCGGAAACCTGTAACTTTCCATCTCCTCATTGGTGGAAGAGTTCAAGGTCGGGAAGGTACTTCTTCACACGATGATGAGGGATTCGGTCGATGAGTTCGTCCACAGGTTACAGCCAGATATCAAAACTGGCACCAAATGGTTGGCGCTTGAAACCACCTAAGAAGCAGAATCCAACCTGCAAGGAGATTATGGGAATGACCCAAACCAATCGAGTTGGCCTGTGCAGCACAAGTAACCAGTTCTCCAAACAGGGCCCATATAGAAAACAAGACATGGTGAGTGAAAAAAAAAAAGAAAAAAAAAGGAGAGCAGCGAACAGCTATTGCTGTTTCTCAGTCCAAACAATATGCTTGGACTATTTGGAGTGATATTGATCCGATGAACCTATCATGGAATACCCTGATTACAATGGAGCCATTGACAATATCATTCCTTCTGCGATCTACCTATGATCTCCTACCAAATGCGACCAACTTCAAGCTATGGAGATACACTGACACCTATGTATGCGCATTATGTCAAGGTGATTGACGCACTTTACGTCACGTGCTCTCTGTATGCCCAGATATACACGTGGCGTCATAACAAAATGCTGGAAGTGGTTATGGACTTAGTCAGTACACAGTGTGAAGCAGCCAATAAACAGCCTGTAACGGCCAGAGAACCTAAGATCCGTTTTCACAAGGAATGTGAACGCCCTGTGCGGAAGAACCAAATAACTCCCAACATGACGCTACTGAGTGGAGCCCACTGACTTGGCGGGTGATATTTGATCTTAGAACATCTCTGCAATTTCCGGTACATGTCAATCAAACAGACGCACGCCCTGACATTGTAGCGTGGTCTGATTCAAAGAAGTCTGTCCTCCGAGCAACCATCGGAGGAGAACAGGGAAGAGGCGCACAAGTGAAAGAAAACCCGCTACGAATCGCTGCGATTCGACTGCGTAGAAAATTGAGGTCGGGTACCGTGGATTTCTTGGACGGTCAATTGTTTCCTTCCTTTTGAAGGTCAGCGTCACTGGACGGAGCCTGAGGTGTGATTCAACCGTCTCCAGACCACAGCTCAACAGTCATCGAATTAAATCTGGTCAAGATCTAAAATAAATAAACTTAATTAAAACAATGCTACTGCCGACGTGAAACACATGTTTACCTTCTATTCTACATCATTGATAACGGTCCCAACGAGATCGTTGTGTATTGGTTAACGATCAAGATAGATAAATCTGACCTGAAGTTGTAAAATAAATCGCAAGAGACTGACACATTTATGCAAAAATAATGCCCTGTCCGGTGGCAAATGTTGGTGGTGGTGACAGAGGAGGTGCTTCCGCCTTAGCCACCGAAACTCTGTTACCTCCCCTGTTTAGCGGATGACGAAGGCAAGGTATCTCACGTGCTTTCACGCATTGTATGTAGAAAAATATATCTGTTTCTATCTAAGTTTTACATTCTATCTAATGCTTTCTATCTAATTCTATTTTTATCTAATTCATTCCATCAATTTATTTAATTCTTACTATCTATCGAAGTATTTCTTTCTATCCCATTCTCTCTAAGTATTTCTTTCTAAATATTTCTGTCTATTTAAGTCTGTCTACCTCTCTAATTCTTTCTTACTAAGTAATTCTATTTATCTATCTAATTATTTCTCTCTATGTATCTATTTCATTCTATCTTAGTCTATCTAATTATTTGTTTTTATGTATCGAAGTATTTCTTTCTAAGTCTATCTATCTTCTTTAAGGAGAACTTGTATTAATTCCTGATCGATGACAATACCTTTTCCATACACAACACAGACTGCCGGTGTTACAGACCAGAGTTTTCTCCCAGCGCCGTGTATATCCAAGGTCATTCTGGGTTAGGCTGTTTTATATCCGGGGAATGTGAAGCTAGGGCCGTTTGCACAGCCGGTTATCAAATGGTCTAGGCTATAACATACACCCTACATCACAATATAACCCCTCTTTTTCCATGCAATAAGACCTATATTTTATATCCAGAATGTGCGCATAGCTGTTATCGGCGAGCCAAGTTTAAATATTTTTTCAGCCTCGTTCTGGAGCAGAAGTTTATCTTAATGTTAGTATATTTGTTTTCTAATAAAATCTGTAATCCCCAGATTGTCAGCTGTTACAAAAATTAAAATGTTTGAATTAAATTATAGATAGTTTTGTAAAAAAAACAAAAAACAAAAAAACAAACAAAAAAAGACTCGATACATATACATCATTTTATAGAGGTATGACATAAAGCCCTCCTCATTTTTTACTGAAGCTGAGAATTCAACAAAAGACCAAATTTATCTTGGCCTCAATATTCGACAATGGTACTAAGCTTAGAAACATTTGGTTAAAGTCCTTACTGTTAATAATTTACAAAATAATTTAAACTCGAAGGTCGTTTTTTTTCGAATCAGAAGCTTCTAAGACTTAGATTGATTTTAATGTAATTGTAATGTCCCTATTGATTTTATCAATAGGGGCATTGTTTTAGTCTGATGAAGTCCTTCTTTAGGATAAAACGCGTTACACATAATTTTTCTATTTTGTCACTGAACGGCCCAATATTTTTCATGATATATAAAAATTTATATATAATATATCTTCTAACTCTTTCAGTTGTCTTCTAATAAAAAAGTCTCATTCCAAAAAAGAAGCGAAAAGAAAAATTGTTTAAAATTAAAAAAAAAATTACTGTAAGACAATAGATTTAAAAATGTTCATTTTATGAGAGGACCAAACAAAAAATATAGACTCAGGACTCTTTAAAACTTAACATCCGATTTAGCGTACCATTAACGGCCGATTTAGTTCCTCACCCATTTTTTCGCATTTTCCCCACTCCACTTTTTTTTTTTATTTTTTAGTGACCTGCTTGAATAGTCGTCAAGGTTGCTTTTTTGTTCAGAATAAGACAAATAATAATGTACTTACATCGAAAACCCAGTGATGAACGCATTGTTTGGTAGAGCCACCTTAAAGATAAGCTTGTCCCTGGCAGTTCCGTCATTTTGGATACGGCTGGTGATCTTCACGGTGTTAAAACGGTAAACAGTTGTCGAATTGATGTGAAGGTATTTAATATTTGCCTGTAGGAGAAAGAGATCAGAAACAGAGATCAATGATTGAAGTTCGCGGAAAGGAAAAAAGCGAAATATAAATACTGTCATTTCTTTTTTTCATATTCATGTCTCCGCTGAACTGTACAAGGCAAACCTACCTGTAACGGCATTCACCCGAGGTGGGTTGAGCCGGCTCCAATATTGGAGTTTCATGGGAATTTGAAATTCACAAGCGGTCCCCAACCCACATGTATAGCACATGAGATTTGATTACAGTGGTGAAGGTTTCGTGCAGGACCATCCACACTTTTTGAAGGGCCGATTACAAAGACCTGGTGCACTACGTGCCACAAGGTCCCCAAACGACTCTCCGCAGAGTTGAATTCAGAGTTGTCCTTCTCCTAGACCAGTTGCCATCCAAGGCTATAGTACCCAGTCTGTCCTGCTATTTACCCATAGCTGGATGGAGAAGAAGAGGATTCACACCTTTCCCAAGGGTATTAGCACGTAAGTGAATGTAATGGGTTCGATTGGAATTCGAACTCGGCTATCCCATTCCTCAATCCAAGCCGCTATCCATTACTCCACAGTGCCTTCTTCTACAAGGCAAATGAGAAGACTCTCGAACCAATTAGACGACCACCCCCAAGCAAGGCAGTAAAAAGCCACTAGGACGCAAAGGTTTATTGAAAGAAACAGAGAGAACAATAAAAGAACACGATTGACGTGGTAACACAACTTTTAAAGATCGTAATTGGCTGGAAACCAGGAAACCAGAAGGGAGTTCCATAGTCGATAAATGCTTGAAAAGAAACTGTTAGCATAGAACTTACGGTTGCATCTAGCAAATTCAACAGTAAAATGGTGAGACCTTGCTATCAATCTAGTACTGCGCTTAAATTCATGAAGTCAAAGTCGTTGACAGGGAAGCAGGAAGACGGAAGAGAGTCCCACAAGCGACTGTTGATTAACAAAATCAAAATTGATTTATTAATTAACAGATCGCAACAGCTATTAGCGAGATGTGATTAAATATACTTTAATGGGTAAAAAAATATTCAGTATTATTATTATAATAAGCATTATAACATGGCAGAAATAGCTATATTGTGGAAAATAAAATTTTCGACAATATACACATTTTTTTACGTATTTATGGTTGTTTTTTTTAACTTTTATCAAAAACGACATTCTTGTACATGTAGTTATGGATAATATTATACATTAATTACTATTTTTTTAATTAATAACTATTTGTGTTCAGTTGTTGACATTAATAGCTATCTGCTGATGTGTTAAAATTTTGCGATAATGTAACAATAAAAATTTAAATTTCATCTCTCTGATAGATGTTGCAATCTGTAAATTCAATCAGCGACCGAATAACCTACATTCTCACTTTGATATTAATTCTTGTTCAAATTTCTATAATTGTGTGGTAAAGCATATAGTATAAAAAACCCACAAGATTTAATTTTACTAATTCATAGTAGTGATAATATCAGTCATTGTAACATGTTAACAGGTACCTTTTCTTTTTTCACAAAAAGGAAACTTAACAACGTTACATGTAGCAAGTGGTCATCCGTTATCACAAAATATTATATTTTTAGGTATGACAGACAAGCTAAGTGTTTGTAACAAATTAACAAAATTAAAACAAGGAAATAAAAAAGGTTTTTGGAAATTCAGAAATTGTTTGCACTAGAAGTTAATACTGTTTAACTATAATTTAACATTATGTTAATTCCCATTATCTAAAATTATGAGTTTCAAATTATTGAAAGATTTGTTTTGTTTAACGTTCATCAATAATTTATGGATTATTTAATGACGAAACAATTTGGGGTGGGATTTTAAGAATAATTCTTATCTTGCGAGTAATATTACATTAATAAATTTTCAGAATAAAATAATATTTCCAGATGCAAGTCCTATTATTTAACCCATAGCTGGGAGGAGGGAAATTGGATTTATACATTTTCCAAGGGTATTTGTGCATAAGTGAATGTAATAAAGCCGACTGGAATTCGAACTCGTTTGTCTGACTTCTCAGTTCGAGAATTATACCATCCATTCCACCACGCGCGCACCCATTCCACAAGTGAGGTGCTCGGGAGAAGAGACTATTAGCATAAATCTTACAGTTGCAATTAGCAATTTCAACAGCGAAAATTATGAGACCTAGATGCCAATCTAGTACTGCGCTTAAATTCATAAATTCTATGTACCAAAGGGAAAAACCCATCAGAACCATTACCAAGAAAATATTGATTGAAAAGACAGTGAAGCTACCTTATAGCGGTGGCAAAGTGTCTGAAGCCGAGATGACAGATCAGGACAGATAACATTGTAGATTCTTGTTTGGATTTTGCCAATAATCTCTTGATATATAGCAGAATCACCAAACCAGATGTGGTAGTAATATTCAATGCTTGAACGAACATGTATTTAAAAAAAAAATCAAATACTGCTACATCAAACTGAATATAATTACAAATTTGTCGAACTTAGGAATCATGTTATTTTTTCACGTTTCGAAAAGAAGCAAAATATCAGATTTGGTAACTAGGTCTAATCGTTTCATTGCTGAAATTGCTCGATGCAACAGCAAATTCTATGCTAATAGATTCTTCAGTCGCTATTCTCGTTTGTTGAACTCTCTTCTGGCTTCCTGCTTTCCTGTTAAATATGATCTCTTTCCTTGAATCTTATTCTTTTGTTGTCCTCTCAATTTCTTTCATTCTCTGTAAACCCTTGCGTCTTAGTGGCTTTATTGCCTTACCCGGGATAATGTGATTAAAAATAAAATACAGGAAAACAAAACAAACAAGCCGAAAATAATTTTTGATACGTCTTTATAGTTTTTACCATTTGTTCGTGTCTAGTATTCAAATGTTGATATTTAGAACTAATACCCAATTTGCAAGCAAACACATCCACATGACTCGGATCTCTTACTTGCTTTCATGAAAGTTTCTAACCTTTGTCTTTTATTGTTTTTCTCAGTTCTCCGGTTCCTTACATTTTCCCAAGACTTTACGTATTCAGTTCATTAACTCTGGGTACGAGGTACTCAAATTTTACTGTGTTAACCAAATTGAGTACTGATGCAGAAATGTATTTTAATGTATTAGATTTTGCTATGTAAAAAACGTCGAGCCTACGAAATAACAGGTTTGTGTATGACATTCAATTAAGCAGTTCAGTGTACTACTTAGATATTTTAATCGTTTGGAAAATAATGATAGCGACCCAGAATCATAAAAAACGGCTGATGACATGCTTGCAGATATCTTGTTTGTGAGAATAGAAGCCTTTGTGTAATTAAGACTATTACACGCACAAAACACGGTAGCCCTGCAGGAGGATACATTGCTTCGTACTTCGAATAAGTCTTCTTTTCTATTCTTACACTCCCTTTTATTGACTAATGCATAAAGACATCATTCAAGTTTATTAAATAAAGTGTAAATAAAGAGTTTATTTTAACACACTGAGATAGATAGATAAATAGATAGATAGAAAAATAGAAATAGACCCGGACAGACAGAACCAGAGTTCGATAGATAGAAACAGATTTTAATAGATAGATTATATATATATATATATATATATATATATATATATATATATATATATATATATATATATATGAGAGAGAGAGAAGAGTGAGAGAGATTAATAGATGAACAGTAAAAATTGATGCCTGAAAATTAAATACATAATTACGTCAGTTTGATGTGCCACATAGCTAAACTTATCAGCATTCTAATGAAAACAGCTCGGATTCGAATTACACCAATTGACTAATGTAGTATTTTTTTTTTACACTGAAACAAGAAATGTAATCTTCATTACCATGTAATGAAGTGTGTGTACCAGCAACAGTATATCATGAGACTGAATCTTTCATATTTGACATCACATTTCATTGAACTTCAGACATCGCCAATTACTTTCGGCCAGTCTGTTGTGAAAGTGGACTCGCATCCTCATCTGAAACGTGGTCCTTACATTCTGTATGCAATGTGTGAGAGACTGACCCCTCTTCTCTGTAGCTGTTCTTTATTTTTTATATCCATTTGTCCAACGGCTTTTCTCATGCGCGCACATATCAGACGCTGTAATACCCTCAGTTTCTTTTTAACTCTCGAGGTCACCACAGGCAACAGGCGGAACACGGATCTGTACCTCGGATGGGGATCATCTCAGTTCAACTCTGCGCCTGGCTTCCTTTGACGGTCTAGTGTGAAATTTGAGGGTGGTGTCTATTCCGGTATAATGCCATGATTAGCATGTTATCAGAGGAAATTTCTTAAATTTTATTTAATACAGGTATTTAGAATATATGACATATCTTGCCTCGTTCTCCTTTTACTTTGCATTTCAGCGGTTCACATTTAAAAATGTGATCTCTTGCAGAGATCTGCGTTTTGCCCACTTGTGGGAAAACGCCATGAAACACACAAACATGTACGTACGAACATTCATCAAAATGCAAACTCTTTACGTTCACGCACAAACACAAATGTTGCTGTCTTTGTCCATTGTAAATGTTGTTTAATACATATAATTGTATATATATATATATATATATATATATATATATATATATATCGGTCTTGTTTGTTTTCTTTACATCTTTGGTTGGACTCAACTTGAGTCTGCCATATTCTTGTAGTGGACCTTTTAATATTCTATCAGGAGTTACACACATGTTCCTAATTTAACAACACGTAAACCCACGGCCCGCTATATAGATTGGTGACCCTCCAACGTGATATTTTTTTTTACTCCTGATAACGGAAACACAAGACTGTATATACGTACAAACTCACATTTACACACACTTTCCCAACGAGAGCTAGTCAAGAAAAACATTGAAAAACTTTTTTTCCTATCATACTATGCACGCCAGACACTATTAACCAAAAAAACATTTATACAGCAACAAAATTTGTGATTAGATCATATGAAAGTGCAAAATTAACAAAATTTTAATTCACTACAACATGTCTATAAAA